ATGTTTGGCTGTGATTAGGTGTGTAAACAATTGATATATATATTAGGATTTTTTTTTTTTTTTTTTTTTCTTGCTTATTTGGAGGTGTTTTAAGACTGTCTAAAGTCTACAAGTGTTCAGTCCCTTAAATTCAGGAAGTTTTTGTATCCCATTCTAGGGAACACATTTAAGATGGTTTCACGTTAGCTTAAAGTTCAACAATTTAAGGTTAAATTTGTAAAAATGTGTTGATAGTGTTTGCAAAAACGGTGCATGTTTTTCTTATCCTGTGCTAATGTCACAAAACACAGATAAAACTAAAATACGATGTCTTTGGAACTGAATATAGTGAGTCTTCTTTTCTAATAGAGGCGTTATTCGACATAGAACCCACAAGTTTATAAACTTTATGAGCACATTTGTGCCTTTAATTATACTAAATGATACGTATATGCATAGAAAGTGTGTGTGTACGTGTGTGTACGTGTGTGTACGTGTGTGTGTCAGTGGGGGTCATGCCAACATGGGAGGGACCGGACCATCAAGTGGACAGCTCTCCACTTCTCCGCCCACCGGGCTGCGCTGCCTCCAAACCACATAGGCAGTAGCTCGGCATGTGGATGAACATGAGCAGGAACAGAAGAGTTAACCAGGGATGAACGAACCCTGCGCTGCTTCAACACAACTACAGTGAGTAAAGGGAAGAGAAGAGACGGCTGAAGTTGGCAGGGACGACGACAACACACGACGGCTCGGTGGTACAACTCTGCCCACTCGGCTGTCACTGCCGGTAACTGCTGCGGACAGTCGACCGAGGCGGAGCGCACACGGACGGTTAGTGGAGAGGAGAAGGTGGGAGAGGGGAGCCGTGGAGGAGCGGGCACCGCAGGAGCAGCGCTCACACCTGTGACTCGAGAGTGAGTTGTCTGTTTTTTAACTCCGAAGTTTTACCGCAGCGCACACTGTTGTTAAATAATGTTTTATTAATCTGTTCTCTGTGTCCACCGTGTTGATGTGATCTTTCACACTGCGACATAATTGTCTACTGCTGCCAATTAGTCACTAGATACAACATGGCCGCGCACAGGGAGGCGCGCACAGGGAGGCGCGCACACACGCAACACTAGATAGATAGATAGATAGATAGATAGATAGATAGATAGATAGATAGATAGATAGATGCATTTTTTAAAAAACATACAATTATATACAAATACTATTAATCTCGTAGGTCATTTCAAACATGTCATAGAATGCATGTGGGTGCTGTGTTCATCAGCATCAGTGCTGCCCTCTGTCCACGTTTTCTGTTCAGGTATTTCAGGGTTAAAAATAACTGCCATTGGAGGACAGTGGTTGAGTGGTTAGTTCTATCTGCATCATGGCAACAAGGTGACTAATTGTTCCCTGTTCCCCTAACCTTTAGGTATGTTTACCTGTATATATATGTTCTTCTTGTTTGTGTGTGAGTTATCTTTAGGTACAACTGTTTTCTTTTACTGTTAAAAAAGACGGCAGGACAATTTGCCACAAGTGTGAATTTTAGTCTAAATGTAAATGATTATCTTTCTATGTGGCCATTAGGTGGCAGTAATGACACTTAAATTAAAAAAGTTGCTGTAGAATTCCCAAAAGAAGAATAGTGGTTAGCAGTATTAGCTTATATATATTCATGTATAAAGAATATTTTTGTGTTGAATAAAGTTGTTTTAAGTTGTGTTGGAGGTGTACAGCTCCACAGATCAGCCACTCCATGGCTAGCCATATTATTACTGCAATTGACCCCTGGTTCAGGCATTTCTGACCTGAGGTCAGTATTATTAATTAATCAAAATTAAACAAAAAGAAAAGCATTGTTAATCCTATATGTATACATACATATGCAATAATAATTAAAAGGAAAAAAAACAAGAGCTAAAGTGACAATTGTTTTGTATTGCCATCTGATGTTTTGTTGCGTATCTCTACAAATATGAAGTGTGTTGTAGTTAAAGAAGCATCATTTGGCTGATATTAGGTATATCATTATTAACAACTTTAAAAAAAAACATTATTTCTGGCAATTCGTGTTCTGGCATCTTAAAAAAAGTTTAAAACAGTATTTAGCATTACACATTTAGGATATGCTTTTATTATTGATTTATTGAATGAATCATTTAAAGTAATAGAACTCACTATTATTTTTTTGTCATTGCTACGTAGTTTCAGTGTGTCAATTCTACCACGCTGATATTGCTGGAGCATTATCCTTACGTTAAATGTGCTGGTCAACAGCTCTGGTTTTCACTGCTGGCTGTATAACTATGGAGCAGCTTTCCACTGGTGCTGAAAAGCTAATCTGTCTCTGCTATAAGTGCATTGGCTGTTTCGCCATCTGGGCTGTATTATAATACAGAAGAGAGGGCATTTGAATAATTGATATTTGGCTATTTATAGGAGGATTATTCTCTTCATGTTGCACCAGGGGACCACAATGTTTCAGTCTGTCTATCTACCTACCTACCTATCTATCTATCTATCTATCTATCTATCTGTCTGTCTGTCTGTCTGTCTGTCTGTGTCTGTGTTAGCTGTGCTTTTGTCTCTCTCAGTCTGTCCTTACATCTGTCCATTTATCACCATTGTCCATCTTTCCGTTGGATGAACAGCAGTGTATCCATCTGAAGTGGATTAGGGGTGTTATCAAAGCTAAGTAGGACTACTGCTAACACACAATCTCACCCACGTCTGCACACACACACACACACACGCAAACAACATGCTGTTCTCACTCCATTTCACTCCCCAAGGACCATTGACCATTGTTAGTCCTCTCTCAAGCCTCTTTTGCTCGTGTTTGTGTGTGTGTGTGTGTGTGTGTGTCAGACAGTAAATACTCTGATCAAACAGTGCTTAACAAGCTGCCGAAACTGATAACAGACAGAGGGAAAGGGACAGAGGATGAGAGAGAATCAGAGAGGAAGGAAACAGGGGGAAATGGGTGACCAGAGGGAACGGAGGTTAGGTTCCAAAATAATGGAACGGAGTTGTGTTTTGGGTTAGGGTTAGTTCAAAAGTGAGATTCATCTGACCTGTGGTTACCTGTGCTCTTGTTTTACATGTTTTTCAAATACGTGCTGTTAGGTAAATGTCGTTCAGCAAAAATTAGAATTTTCTGTTATTTTATGTATTGATTTTATGCACACATTCATTTCCCATCACTCCCTTTTTGGTCTTAATTTTGTCATATGTATGTTTATGTTTTGTTTTACACTGTAGAGAAAAAAAGGAAAAATAATGCAGAAAAAGAGGTGCGATATGTGACAAAGAGCCAGATGTTAACTCACCGCCCCCACAGTGTTTTTGATCCAAGTTTTACACTGACTGACTCTGTGTTTGAAGGACACATGATGCTACTTTCTGCCAATCAATGTGGCCCCTTGATGTCTAAATGAAATGCTAGTATAATACATTAGTCTGAAAAACCAAAGGGTTGAGCACACCTGAACTCTTTACACACTTGTGTAACAGTTTGAATGCCTGGCATAGATTTTAGTTTTGCAGCAAAAATACCGTAACACTTGTAAAACAATGCATCTGAAAAAACACACAAGGACACCACTTGATGTGGCACTGTCCAGGATGGGTATTTATCATAAAAAATATCCTTCTTTTAGCGGTTACCACGCCTGCCTTACACATTTGCCCTACAGAAGATCCTGGGTGGTTTTCACATTTTCGAGATTTTGTCAGGTTACAAAAATGGACTTAGTAGTTGTAACTGACACCCCACAGGTATAAATATGTGTGCCATAATTTTCACTATGTTTACCTCTTTTTTTCAGATCTATATAAGGACATCACGGTTCAATTCCATTACCTCTACAGTCGAAGTGACTGCAAACTCTGGTGAAACTGTGACCTGTTTTTCTGTGCAGGTAAGCAGAAGTGGTGAGACGGTTATTTCACAAAGTGCTTTTTATGGAGGAAAATGCAGTAGCAAAAAAAAGAGTAGCTCCATTCACAGAACACGCACTGGCATTAACGAGTTTACATGGAATAAGAACCAACTCTGGCACCAATGGAAACAGTTTTCATCCAGGACACACAGTGGGGAGCATCAGAAGGATTGCTTTTGGAAGGACACTTTGCCATTGCTTTATTAATGTAAAACAGAGCTGCGGGAACCACACACAATTTCCATTCATCTCACAGACATGTGTATGTTCCTGCCAAGTAAAGCCAGCTCTGTATGCATGTGTAGAGAGACCAATGTGGATAAATGTATCCTTCAAGTGTTCTCATCCATGACTCTCCGTGTCTCTCCTTCCCCAGTGATGGATTCACCTACAGATCTTTTCAGTGACTCTGCTCTGCATTCTCCTGCTTTTGCTCCCAGTTTGAGCTCCACTGATCTGCCCGGGGTTCACCCTCAACCCAGTGCAGGCCGCCCTCCTCCAGCCTTTAGACCCCCAGGGTTTTCTCTCGTCCATCACCTTCATCAGCCAGGAGGATCAAGCAAAAGGGGGTCAGGACAGCCCAACGTGACAAACATGAGCTCACGCATGCACCTGGACCCCAGAAATCTGGAGGAAAATGGTGTAAAAAGGGATGAACAACTAGAGCAACCGATTGCAGGAGGCGAGGAAGGAATTCTAGAGGGAGAAGAGAGTTTGTCGGAGGGGAAGAAGAGGCACAGTGACAGTGCCCTCTCAGCAGAGTGGGGTCAGGATGTGCTGAAAGTGAAGAGGATGAAGACCGACAGACACAGAGATGAGGAAGGAGGTAGGAGACGAGAGAGCGGGAAAGATGTGAGGAGAAGAGAAAGGGAAGAGCTGAAAGAGCAGCTGGAGGAGGCCAGAGAGAGACTGCAGCTCCTGCAGGAGAAGGTTTGGAGGGCTTTTGGTGAGAAGCATTTGGCAGACGAGGAGAAGAACAGGAGGAACAGGAGTGAAAAGAGAGGAACAACAGAGGATGGACATGTGGATGCGGTGATACTAGGAGAGGAGGACATTCCTGAAGGGATGTATGATGAGGAGGACATGGATGATGGAGAGTTGGAAAAGGAATCCTTCTCTCTTCTCTCTGTTTCTCCTTTCGATCACTTCCACAAAGGGAGAGAAGAAAGACAGAAAGAGAGGGAGAAGAAGACGGAGAGAGACGGAGGACTGCATCTGGAGAGCTTAATGGAGGGATCGGGCTTGTGGTTGGACTGTGGAGGACTGGTTAGAGGAGACTGGGATGGAGAAATAGAAGAGGAAGGGGAGGAGGGTGGACAGAAGTTTGCCCAGGCCCTGAAGCTGGAGCTGGGCAGTGCTGTGGCCCGAGTCATCGACCGAGTTCTCCGCCTTTACACCGAAACTACAGATCTCACTCCTTCCTCTCCTCCTCCTGCTATTTCTTTTCTCCAATCTAGTGGGGGAAACGAAGGGGGGAGGGGAAAGGATATGTGGATGGGACTTTTAACAAGTGGACAAGGAGAGGATAAGACAAAGGGTAAGGAGAAGGTCAGAGGGCAGGATGGAGGGCTACAGCTCCAGAAGAATGGCACTAATGTGTCTGCAGGAGAATCACATCCTACTGAACCCTCAGACCTGTCCATGCCATTGGCTGTTCAAAGATCACCTGACCTTCGGAAGTCTCACCCACTCCTTGGCCCACCCCCCCCAAACCTCTCCCTGCATCACCCTTCTCTGCCTCATCCTCCCCCTCTTTCTCACCCTCCCCTCTTACCTCCAACTTCGCAGCCCAAAGACACCTCTTCCTCTTCCTCCTCTTCCCATCCTTCCTCATCCTCCTCTTCTGCCTCATCCTCCTTTCCTGCACCTCTTTCTCTGCATCCCCCTCCCCCTCCTCCTCCACCCCCTCTGCCTCTGCCACTGCTGCACTACTCCATGCAGCAACTCTTCTCCAGAGCGCTCCACCATCCTCAGCTCCCCCACCTGCCTCCGCCGCGCAAGGACTACCTGAACCCAGACTCATTCCTGGATTTCTCACCTCACCCCACATCTCACCCCTCCTTCCCTCCGCTGCCCCTGCTTGGCCACCTCGACCCCTCGCTCGCCCATCATGCACACAGGGCTCGGGAGACGGAACGAGGGGTGCGAGGAGGCGGAGGAGCTATGGACGGGGGAGATCTCTACCTTGCAGCTGGAGGGATATCCTTTTGAAAGAAGTGTGTTTGTACCTGTGTGTGTGTGTGTGTGTGTATTACAATCATCAGTCAGACTTCTGCGACCAGCATTATGTTTTTGTCCATTTAAAAAGAATCTCTACATTTGAATTCAATAATTAAAGAAGAACTCTGGTGATTGACCACTTACTCTCCTGCTAAACTTAAACTAAAACATCACTCCCTTTTCCTTGACCGGCCTCATATCCACAGTCAGGAGGGTCTGTCCCCGTGTCACCTGAAGAAAGCAAAACTCATGTTCTTCTACGCTCGATATCCCAGCTCCAACACCCTCAAGACCTACTTCCCTGACGTGAAGGTGTGTGACCTTTGACCTGGTGATGGGGTTATCATCTGTCTGCTAAGCAACGATAGTTTATTTAACTTCATGTGTAATTTATTTACCACATGAAATAGGAAGTTATGGAAATAATATTAATGAACCACTATTCATCCCACAATGGGGTGATATACATGTGAGTCTTTGCAAATGACACAGGTTGCCATGGGAGGCGCTATTTTGGACATTCCTCTGGGACATTCCGTTTTATTTTTTATGCTTTTACAAATAGTGATGTAATGAGCAGCCAGTGTTAATGCTTATGAAACAGGACTATAACGATTTTAACATTTTTGGATTAATGTTGCATGAAAAAAAAACACTGAGGATGATATATCTACAATAATTGTTTAAAACTAAAAAAACTAAAACTAAAACTATAACTTATTTAGAAAAATTATTGAGTGATTATCTTAGAAGTTACGTATTCACACACACTTATTTATATATAAGGTCAGAAAGATTATCTAAAGTTGTAAAATGTTGAAAAATTATCACAGCATGTCTCATCACAATGATGACCCGCTCACTGCTCCTGCTGTTTTGTTTTTATGTTTTTTCTCCACTGTCCAGTTTAACCGCTGTGTGACCTCCCAAATGATTAAATGGTTCAGTAACTTCAGAGAGTTCTTCTACATCCAGATGGAGCGATTTGCTCGACAGGCTGTGCGCGAGGCTCTCACCCGGTCAGTTTGGTTTGAGGCTGGCACTGGTTCATGTTCAGCTCATTTGCTGCAAGAAGAATTTCTTTTGTTCCCTACAATTGCACATTGCTACTGAGTGTTTTTCTCTGGCAGTTGGATTTCTGCCTCAGATGTGCATTTTGCTGTTTTTGTATAGAGGAAGATATGTATAATTAGATTTCCAGGAAATTGAGGCCTGTGTTTTTCCTATGGGCATATATATATACAGAGGTGGAAAAAGTACTAAAAAAATGTAATTCAGTAAAAGTATCTTTAATTTGCTTAAATTCTACTCAGGTAAAAGTAAAAGTACCCACCTAAAAATTTACTAGAGTAAAAGTAAATAACTACTTTATTTAAAATATACTTTAAGTAAAAGTTACTTATTTATTTTAATTTATTATTATTAATTTAAAATTAATTATTATTAAAATTATTAGACATAATTGAATGTAATTCATTACCTTCCACCCCTGTGTGTGTGTATATATATGTATATATACAGTATGTATATGCTATTTTTTATAATTATTTGTTTTTAAATCAATATGAATCAATATTTTATTTTTGTCTGTTTGCGTTGCGTAGCGATGGTTCTTCCCGTCCAGGCAGAGAGAGTCAGCTGCGAGTGGGCCGTGACACTGAACTGTATCGCATATTGAACATGCACTACAACAAAAGCAACATCTACCAGGTAAATTTAAATGAATGTGTCTCTGTAGTCATTTTGTTTCTCAAGGACTTTTTCTTACAAAAATATAAATATTAGAACCATTATGTAATCATTTAGATGTTTTGTGATCACATTGTGTTAAAACATCTCTGCAGCATGCTGTGTATTTGTTTTTAAAGTTGAGAGTGTTTTAGCTTTCCAGTTGTTTTTTGCCTGTATTGCACTCTTAGCTCTATCTCTGCCTTCAGAGTGTATGTTTGTGTGTTTGTAGACCCCTCAGATTCAGAATAATTATAAAGCTGACAGCTGTGGCTTACTGCATATGTTCATATCCTCCTTAAATGGAGCTTCAATATGTTCCCACTCACTTTCTGTCGTGAAAGCCTGATGTTTTCACTCTTTTTAAAGGATGAGGGACCTTGTTTTTACTTTAATGGATGTCAGAGCCGGGTTTTTGTGAGCACTGTAGCTAGCCAAGGTTACATATGTATTATGTAACAAATGCTGCATAATATACAAATGGTTGTATGCCATGTGTGTATGTGTATGTTTTTCATGGTGCAGCCTTGGGTTTATTCAGTGTAGTTATGCATGCACATAGAAATGGAAAGAAAAAGGAAACTGCTGTTGCATCCACCTGATATTTTTGAAAGGAGGTTTACTGTGTACTTAAAAATTGTTATTTTAAACCTTTATTCACACTTTCGAGTCTAGGGTGCAGTTATACATGCCTCATTTCCTGCTGTGCATACTTAGAACCATATATATATGGTACATGTATGTTGTTGTTTTGAATAGTAATCTCCCATATCTACAGTGTGTGTTCAGAAATGGTCAACCTCTATAGAACTTCATCTGCTTGGTTCGCTGACCTTTAGTGTTCCTCCTGCAGGTTCCTGAGAGATTTATAGAAGTGTCAGAAGTGGCTCTGAGGGAGTTTTACTCAGCCATTTGGACCGGAAGAGACAGCGACCCCTGCTGGAAGAAAGGCATCTATAAAATAATTTGTAAACTGGACAGTCCAGTACCAGATGCCTTCAGGCTGCCTGGGTGTCCTGTTGGTTAATCTGTGAAATTTCTCATTGAATGTACAGATGGTGAAATATACACAAAAGAAATTTAAAAAAAAATTCTTCACAACATCCTGGATGTGTGAGAGATATCTACTGGTTGTCGTTTGTTGTTGTTTCTTTATTGATTATTCATTTATGTTTAAAAGAAAACCTTTTTTGAAAGTTGCTAAAATGTAATAAAGGGGAATTGTGCTGGGACACATGCTGATGTACTATAGCAGAATGACAAACTGAGGTCTGTGAAGAGGGTCTGGTGAATTCACTTAGTGAAGAATGTGAACATACCACTGAGTTTGTTGTAAAAGAGAAGAGAATTGTACTGCAAATATGAAGTCACAGTGAAAGTAACAACAGCGTAAGATGGAGCTAAAAGTACTGTCATTTAACCTCTTTCATTTCCCAACATCACTTTCATCAAAAGGTCTTTGTGTGGTGTGATTTGCTTTTAGAAAATATTCTGATTTGCTTTCAGGTCATTTTTGTTGAACACATACTCAAAAAAATATAAAGAATGTGCATTTTAAATATATATCTCATCTTTTTTGGTAAAACTATGAGCACAGTGGCTTCTGTCAGTGGTTTTCTCTTGCCTGTGTATCCGTCTCTGTTCTTATGATCTAATTATTAAGCTTTTGTTCATGAAAACAAAATATATTATGATCACAATAACCCGTCATTTGTGACTCTCGTATAGAGGCAATGACTTGATTTTAATGATTTTTTTTCTTTTTGTTAAAATGAGTTTTTAAATGTGATGCTTAACTCAACAGGCCACACACTCGTCTGTATATGCTGCTCTTTAAAACACTGTACAAACCGTTGTTTTTTAATGCATGTTTTCTGTACCTTGGATTTGGATTTGTAATCATGTTTATGGATCTCATTTGTATTGTTCATGTCATCCCCTGACCCTTCAATGTATATCTGTGCCTCATTTAAACTTTGGTGAAGTTTGGTGTTTGAATTTTTAACAGTGGATTAAAGTGATACCAGGCTCATGTTGTGATGAGTGGACTTACACACACACACACTCACACACGGTCTCACTGGCGTTCAGTGCCTGAAGCAAACACTAGTGCCATCGCGAGTTAATCCTTTAATCTAACAACATGACTACACCAACACAAAGACAAATGCACACAATGTCTCACTGGTGTGTGTGCTGGCTTTGTAAGAGGCTCAGTAACGAACCAACTCTGACCACCTGAGACAACCTACACACACAAAATTTACTGCAGGAAAATAACTTTTGATGATTACCAAGAAACAACTGATTCCATAGATGGAAAAAGTATTCCGGCCAACCTGTATAATTCTGTACCAACAAACCAAGTCAAAACCTTTTCATTCCCACAGCTGGTAGTCAATGAAATAGCTGCTCTTTGAATCTGATTGTTACAGTGTGCTTTGAAAATAAGTCACAGCTACACCTCAACATGGATTTCAAAGAGTAAATCAGGCCACCTCTTTGGTGTAGCACTTCTATTTACAGTATGTTGCTCTTCTCGCTTAACCTAGAAGACTACACTTGCTTTCTGCATTTCATGAAAAAGAAAAATTCAAAAAATTATTTTTACAAAAATCTTCACTGTACTAACAAAACAAATCCTCATTGGTCTGAAAAGATTGTTATAGATTTATTCACGCTACTGAGGCATCAACAAACACTTGATAATGATTAACCTGATCATTGTATGATTGATAAGTATACATTTATTTGTAATTTTTTATTAATTTATTTTTATTATAAAAATGTATATTAAATGTCATATTTTGGTTTACAGATTAATACATTGCTTTACTGTCCTGTTAATGTGCTGTTAAACTTTTCACTCACATTGGATCCTTCAAATAAAGTAATAGGGATTATAGTTCTTATAAATTAAAGATCCAGTTGTAAGTGAGAGTGAGACTAAAGATTATTTTAGTAGAATGAAGCAAAGTCCAGTAATGTCACAGCTCAGATGCAGAGAAATGAAATGATGTCAGACACAGTCAGCAGAAGTGGAACATTTAAAGCCGTCTTTAACATGGCAAAGTCATATGACATAAGGTCACACGGTTTGATTTAACAGTGATCCGAGACCGAGTTACAACCAACACACACACACACATTCCAGAATGACATTCCCATAATTATTCCATCACGTTACTCTGTATTTTTTCTCTTTCCTTTCATATTATTGATTAATTGTAATGCACTAAGTAATTAGTATACAATACAGTAGTTACAATTATATAAAGACAAGCTGCGATTGAAATCTGTGTCGATAGAGGGCACCTTGTGATGTTTGCTGACTTACCTCCACCATATTCTGCCTTTTCCACATCCTTAATTCTCTATCTGTCTACATCATTATTAGACAAATCTGACCTCTGACCTGGAGAAAATGTGCCTGTATAACTGCCACTGTCCAAGTTTATCCACAGTCAGTGTGACAAAAGAGGATTTTCACGCATTTATCTGCGTAACTTTCCATGCACGTGGTTTAGCTCTAAAGAATTCTTCTTTACTGACAGTTTGGAGTTGAAGTTTCTGTTGCAGTGGCTTCAAGGGGACGTTTGTCTAACTGAACTGGAAGAAGAAAAAGATTGAATTCCCCTGTTACAGCAACTGTTTCTCACCTGCAGAACTAGAATCTAATATTTGTCAGACTGTGAGCGGAAAAGACAGGTGAGTGGATATATATATATATATACAGTTTTGAGAAACACTGATGATATTATATATTATTTATTTATGCAGTATATATTCCCTCTTGGCTAGTTTTTAACTATTTGAGCTCACCTTTATGTATTCATATATATTGTTTACCTGAGTTTAGGTTTAATTAAATTAAAATAATTTTCGTAGCTCAAGATGAGCTTTTTATGAAGTTTACAACCATGTTTTCCCAAATCGGCCTGACTAATTGGCTTAACTTAATAGTTTGGCAAAGTTAATAGTTTGGCAAAGTTTGTTTATTTTATAGGATGCTTGTTTTACTGTTCATTATAAATGCACCCATTTAATACTTTTTCAAAGATATCAATTCAACCTATTAATATTTATAAAATATTTATATTATTCTAAAATATATATTTGTTCTTTCATTATTTAAAGTTTCAAGAGAATCAATTGTTCAGTACAAAAGCTTTTAAGTATAGATTTTAAGTATAAACCGGAAGTTCTGGCTCTGATACTATGGCTAACTTCGTCACTGCTAAAGACAGTCTCCTGGAAGCTGGGTGATGATGGCGCTGACCGGGCTGCTGTTGGTGGAGCTGGGTCTTTACGCCAGCTGCTTCGTCTGCGGGATTGTGGCTGCCGCGTCCGTCACCATTGTCCAGGTGAGTCTATTTTATGGAAACAAAAATAATTTTAAAAGACATACATGTAGTTTTTAAACTGCGTCTTCCGGGTAGTCACACCTCCGTAGTCGTCTGTAAAAGTTTCAGTTTAAGTTGAAATGAAGAGCGAAGTTTAAAATGTTAGTTAAAATGTTAATTAAAGGGTTAGTTGAACTTGACAGTGACGTTTTAAAGGTTCACGGTTAAACTGTCGTACAATTTCACGCTTCCCCCGTTGTAAAAAAGTGATTTTAAACAGCGACATGTTTTCTGGGCTCATGCGTTAACGTCGACATTACAACACAAGTATGTTGTCTAAATTAAAAGCATAGACGTTTAGCATTTCAACTGCTTTCTTTTTGTTGAACACTTTGATCCCAAAAAACAACGTTGACAGGCTGTAAGAGTCAAAAAAGTGTCTTTCAGTTAATGCGCGAGCATGTGACAGAACGTGTGCGAGCCTGCATGTGAAGGTGCACTAACAACAGTCATGTGTCCTGACACTGATCCTGGTCTTCTGCGGTCATGCAGCTGCTTCAGAAGCTCCACACAAATGTGGATGAAGTGATAAGAATTCACAGTCACTTCGTCAGGAACATCATCATCTGAAACCAGGTTGGACTGACTTTTGTTGGTCCTTAGGCGGCCATAATTGTTGGTGGCATAGATTTGTGCAGATGCTGGAACGTTCCTTACTTACAACAATGTCCGTTTTGAAAACTTCAGTGTTACAAACAATAGACAGTGTTGTGTGAGGGAAGGGCTGAGAAAAGTGGACATCGCTGGATGTTAAGAAGATGTGATGATGGTGATAAATCCCTCATATCCTTTGTTTCCTTTTTTTCTCTGTAAATGAAATTTACAAAACACTATTAGTGTGGCACATACACTGCTTTAATGTATTAATTTAAATCAGACAGTGCTTAAAGGGTCTAGAGTGGTGGGTACCTGTGCATAAAGCCATAGGTTCAGGGTGCAAATGCAACAACCCCTAAAAGAGAATTCTGTGGCTAAAACAGTAGCATATCTCTGCGTGGTGACCTCTGGTGAAGGGAAAAGTCAAAGCAGATAATTGCTTTATGTCAGTGTTCATGCCTTTTAACCACTGTGTCCATCATTAATGAATTCTTGCTTTATTCACAATTTAACAGCTTATGTTTAACCGGTCCTAGGGTGGTTCCTGAAAATGAGTGGACCTGGTTCTGTCATCTCCTCTCCACCTAGCATACCACTTTTTTCACCTTTTTGTTGGATTAGTATATGTACATCGAACTTTAGACCATGGAGTCTTTCCAAACCTGTTACATCATCACATGAATAAACATTTAAACTGGTGTCACGCCAACTTTATTAAAAATGTACTTTGAACAGATGATTAAAATGATATTTATAACAATAAAGAAAAGGGTGCCTGCCTTTACTTCTCCTTTCCTTCATTGTGTCTGTGACTGTTGTTGACAAACTGAGGCAGCAAAACAAAGCACAACTAGGAGGAAATCAAAGTAAAATCTCTGTCTTCTTTTAATTTTCCAGGGTCATTTTGGAGGTCAGTGTATTCTGTATGGACTCGTCAACTACAATTCCACTGCAGGCCTCATCGAGGTGCAGTCGTCCAGCTCCCTGTCAGTCTGCTACTTTGTGTCGGCCGTATCTGTCATGGTGGCCGTGGTATGTTTCTCTCTGTCACTGTACTGGGTCTACACACTCTGCATCGACGGCGAAGTCAGAAGGTGATGACAACACTTGTGTTTTTCATTCAAACTGAACTGCAGTTTGTGTTTGCGTTTTTAAAATTTCAACTGAAGTATTTGTTGGTGTTGAACCTTTCACCCTGAGTCAAATGCGTTTATTTTTCTGTAATTTCTCCTTTATAGGGGTTTTACAGCAGTTTGTATTAATTTGATGCTTTGTTATGTTCTCAGTGTCATCTCCTAGATGCTGTTAAATGTCCAGTATATAAATGTTACTTGGAATTTTTTGTTTTCCAAACTTGTTCATGAAAATATTAACACAGTTATTATTTATGGATTCTGAATGGTCATTGTAATTATTTAATATTTACAATGAAATTGCAATATAATTGTCATATAATATTACAATATGTTTAAGAAGCAAAAGTCACTGATAAAAAAGTAGTTTAAGATTTAAAGGATAAGGAACTTTTGTTGTCGAATTTCCAGGACAAATTTTACGGCAATCACAGGACGTTAAATGTAGAATTTGCTTTCTCACATACATTTCCTGCCTTTTTACACACACTGATACAGCATTAGAGAAATCAAGTGGCTTTAACAGCTTTTGTTTCAAAAATACATCAGAAAACGTAGTTTAAAATAATTTCCTCATTCTGTCAGCGGTTCTTTTATGCTTTGTATAAAATAATACCTTCTCACACTGCTTCTGTTTTTCAACAGAGAGCGAGTGTGGATGAACATCATTATGGTCTTGTGCGGAATCTTTCTGTTCTTCCTGCTCATTGCAGGCTGCATGCTGAAAATCGGACGTGACTCGCTCTGTAACTCGATCGTCAGTACTGTTCCCAACATTACTAGGTGAATACAAATCTATGAGAATAAAACTGTTTAAGTAAACCACTGTCGTTCTGTCGATGGAAACCAGTTTGATTGGACAGCAAAGTCAACTGCATCATTTAAATATTTGCAGTTCTTTCTCTAATTCATAATTTGTCTATGTCCAGATGTGAGGAGGCCCAGACAAGGAATTGGGTCAGTCCACTAAACGGAGAACGGTTCTACAACAGTCTGTTCAAAGCTGAGGTCAGCATTGTGTTCCCCTGTGTTATTATTCTTATCTTTGTTCTGACAACCTAATTTCTGTAAAATATTGAATGAGGATTAGCCTTGGATTTGCAAGAATGACAGCTGAAAGAGCTTAATGTTATGTTTTGTGTCCTATGTCCTGCATGTCTCAGACGGCGGTGTGGGTCAACTTCTTCTTCTGGCTCATCATTGCCGGCTTGCTCATCGCTCAGAGGAGGCAGACGTCAATGTTGAAAGCCTTTACAGGAGGCTACAATGGGCCGGCCGGTGGTCTTTTCGGTGACCCGGGGGTGACTGCTGCAGAGACTGAGCCTTTTTTCAACCGTCCTGCTAGGCCCCAGTGAGGACACGCGTGATAGGAGGAGTTAGGAAATAAAACGAACACAAAGTCAGGATAGAGAGTAGAAATGGGTAAATACACTTCGCATATGCTCGTTTGTTTTTGTTTTTTTTCATGTATGCTCATGCTAACAAAAGCTTCAATGTTGCTGTTTTGCAAGTTTATGTTTATACTGCCATCACCTGGAATTAGGTCAGGAATTAGGAGTGGAAGAGCAGGATCTTCAGTTTTATGTGCTGTCATTCACAGTGTTTTTCTATTATTATTTTGCACTGAAATGAATCATACGTTTTGAAAGACGTGAACATAGAGATTCAACGATCTTCTAGTTTTTATGTTGTATTCATAAGCAACACAAGCGACCCCTAGTGGTTGCTTGTTTTATGCCTGTCACCTGACCGGCCCAACAATATGTTCAGAAGAAAGGTTTGTTTCCGTGATTTAGAAACGTCAAAAATAAATGTAGTGTTTTTCGACGAGGATGGGATTCGAACCCACGCGTGCAGAGCACAATGGATTAGCAGTCCATCGCCTTAACCACTCGGCCACCTCGTCTTGTGAAACATGTTGCTTTTGCTGTTGAATTTTATCTCGCAGAGAGCAAGTACAAAAATCTCCACTTAAAATTTCCTATTTATTGCAGTTCCCTTGGTAAATTGTTGGAATTTTCACCAAAACATACAGCTATGGGCCTGTATTTACATAACTTACTTTAGACGTTCATTTTCCCATTTACCAGTGAATTTTTATACCTCTATTGTGAAAAGCATGTGTGATCCTGCACGGGTTGTTCTACTATATGACATATAGCTTCATTAATGTGGACAGGTTTTATTTATTTGATTTTTGAAAAGTCTGATTCAAGTGGAAAATCTCTCTTGATAACAGTTTGTTAGAGTGATTTGCTCTGTACAATGGTTTTCAATGGAACGCACGATCGGATGTTAAACGAGTCGCATTGCGTCGTTATGCTTTTCAAAATATTAAACAGAACAATTTAAACATATTAAATTACTGTTTCGTTTTTCTAATTCAACGATTCAATATTTTTTGTTCAATAACTGTTCAATAAGTTTTATTTATTTTTATTAAAGTGTTTAACTTTATTTTTCAACTGAAAAGAGCCTGAAAGGTGAGACGGCGGATGTGTTGAGCCCTGCCTCCCTCTAGTGGTGTCCGAGTAGACCCGTGGATGAGAAACAAAAGTCAGGGTTTTAAGGTGTTTCATATTCACTTCTTTTCTAAGGGTTTTTACACTCATTTGATTGAAGCATACGGACGCTTTTTTTCTGACCCAATTTTTTTGTATTTATTACACAAGTCTTTTATTTCGTTAATTGTGTTTTAATGACACTGCTCCCTTTGGTTATGTTAGTAAATGATGATACAGAGAGCAGGCCAAGATTAAATGCAAAAGGGCCAGTGGATAAAGGGATGCAGTATTACAGATCAAAATAGACAGAATTAGCTTAATCTGATTTATCTGTACCTAATTATATAATCTCTGTGGATTAGCTGACCTTCTTTGAGTCCGCGTGTAGAAGATAACAGATCACTGAAGGAGGTGGCTGAGAGAGAAAGGAGTCTGGATTGGAAAGGAGAAGAAAAACGTAATGTAAAGCTATATTTTGTTATTAATAACGTCAAAAGGGCTAGTTTAAATATTTTTACTCAGTTTATTAAAATTGCAAAGGTAAATTTACTAAGGATATCGAGAATAAGCGGAAGTTGGACGACTGACTGACTGACTCGAGTAAGTCTACGGTGAGACTTGGTTTTATTTCTTCTCCTTTATCGATTGAAACTAATTAGAAATGTAGACATTAATGTTTAAAAAAAATGGAACAATTTGGAAGCATGAAGTGACCGATGCAGTGTAGCAGTGGACAAAAATGGAGTTTAATCCTCTTTGAGCCACTTCATTCTCCACACATCAAATGTTCTGTTACAAACCTGTTGATCTGTGCTGGGCTGGTGAATGTGAGCTATTCATTCACTTTATCTACTGTTTTGGCAGAAGTGTTGCAGTCCACTGCCAAAACAAAGATTTCCACAGAACTATGCAGAACAAAGCAGAGCAAAGACAAACATTAGTTGGGGTTGGAAGAAATGCCCCCTAAACATTTTATTATGAAATACATTTCTTCTTTACCAAAGCAGAAATAGCTGTTTGCCAATAACAAACGTAGATGAAAGGTTGCCTACTGTAGATCGCTATTGTGAAAATATCTAAGGGAAATGCTAAGACTTAAACAGTATAAACATACTCTAAACATAGAGATACCCGATATGTCAAATTATAACTGAAATAGATAACACTAATGACAAACACTCACGGTGCAACCCATACAGTATGGGTTTGTCTGTATGTACTGTATTTTTGACACAGGTAAAGGACAGTTGATAAACATGCTTGATTCACTGTTCATTTTAACCAATGACCTGTGACCTTCCTGTGTCCAGAACATGTCTGGGGACCAGAGTGATTCTGTGGTCCTGAGCCTAGAGTCTCTGCTAAACCATGCCAAACTGATGCAGACCCAGTGCCGTGATAGCAGCGAGCAGCTCTCCGTGGCTACAGCGCAGCTGAGACTGGACTGTGCTGGCCTGCAGCAGCAGTGTCAGGCCGCCCAGCTGGACATGGCCCACATCCGCAGGCAGCTGGACGAGCTGATGGACACCAAGGCTGCCATTGAAGCCAAGGAGAGGCAGGCACGTAAACTCAGCAGGCAGCTGTGAGGATAATAAAGAGGAAGCGGACCTGACACTAATATTATCCTTTTTCCAAAATTTAGGATAAGGATTTGTACTTGAAGAGTATGTGTATTGGATAATTAAAAGAGAAAAAACTCTAAAAAAGTGAAGTAATAATAAAACAAAAATATTATACAGCATTGTTCAATCATGTATATTTATTGCTAGACTGATTAAGTTCTACAAACTTAAACCAGTACAGTATATTCATTTTCTCTACCAGACTTCATAGAGAAAACCACCGTTTTAGCCCCGAAAGGACACTGGGAATTCTAAGCAACGGCTGCACCATTCTGTCAACTTCTGTGTTCTTTAGGTGTATCCAAAGAACGACGTCAAACACAACGGTCATAAATTAACAACAACGACCAGACTAATGGCGGCAGCAAAGTGTAAACAGCGACTGTGTCGTAATCGAAAATCCCTCCGTTAATCTACGGACACGGCTGAGAAGGTAGACGACCTCGAGTTTCTTTTAGAAAACGTAAGTAAAATTGTAATTTTAACCAATTTTAACATTACATTCTAATGTTACGTCTTTAAAGGTGCTACAAGTCACTCGAGTCACTTCAACAGACACTAACTAAGTCATAGTCTTGTCCGATGTGCATTTGACAAAAAGTCCGTTTTTCTGGGTTGTTAACATGGCCGGTTAGCTCAGTTGGTTAGAGCGTGGTGCTAATAACGCCAAGGTCGCGGGTTCGATCCCCGTACGGGCCAATTCTTTTTGGGCTCTCACTTTACATGGCTCCAATGTTGCTGCTCCACAAGGCAAAATAAACATCCCTTTATCGGTTACCACGCCACCTACTGATAATTATATGAGTAGCATTACGCCACATCTGCAATGAACCAAATTTGCAGTGCAAGTGTGATCGGCTATAACATAGCCACAATGCTCAGCGAAATCTACAGTATTGTCAAATATTGATTTGTTTTCAAAACACGTTTTATTTGTGTGACCTGCTGATTTAAACAAAAATGACAGAAATTAACTGAATTCTTTGGTCAACAACTTTTCGGAGGAACCTCTTCCACAATTTCCTTTAGTTGAGTAAATTGAATTACCCAATCACACAGTATCTCTGTGCATAGTCTAACCCTGTTTTGAATGGTATGTTTTTTTTTTTTTTGTAGCGCTGCACAGCATTTTCTAGTTAGTGGTTGATGGGCTGCAGTAGGTGAGGTCAGCGTGGTTGGTACTGTATAATCAGTCAGGTCGTTGTGCTACTATAAAGAAATAATAAAACAAATTAGAATTATTATGGTAAATTATTCGATAATATGCCACAATTATGATATACAAAAAAAACAACTTTGTTTCCTCCTAAAGTACTTATCTAGTTTTCAGTTTTGAAGTTTGTTTCCAGAATTAAAGTGTTATCATTACACTGTTGGGGTGGGGTGGGGGGGTGTAATTACATTTTTTTCTGCATGTTTGATATTTATTTACAACTGCTATATGCATATCTAAATGTAGCATTTGGTAATTTAACAATAAATGAGTTATCGTCACTCAATTCATAACAAGACACAAACACACGGCACAGGTGTTGCACAAAGGATTAAAAAAATTTAATCATCGTTATAAATCTCTGTACAAATACATGTTTTTTCTCATTAAAAATGTATTATAAATAGCAATAGATAACAAACAAGCAGTGAAGAAGACATTTTGGGACTGCAACAGTCTGCTGGACTTCAGTCAAGGACACTGACGACGTGGAATTGTTAGTGAGAGTATTTTGGAATGTGTGTGTGTGCCATTTGGTTTCTCTGCGACAGGGAGACTCTGTCCATCACCGTGCTGTAAGACAAACTCAGAATGAGTAAAAAGTTTGCAGTATGATGAAATTCTAATTCAGTGGTTCCCAAACTTTTTTTTACAGCATTCCCCTCTTGTAGATTATGGACTATTGTTGAGTTAATTACACTTTATTTAACACAAGGCAAATTCTAAAAAAAAAAAAACTAAAAAAACCTGCGAGTCTCACTGAACAAAGGAAATAAAATTACAAGTCAGTAAAACATCTCCATTGCTGCTTAATTCTTTATCTCTGCTGGGTCCTCCCTGCATTAGCTCCATGTCCCGCTAGGGATTCCAGCCCCCCACTTTGGTAACCACAGTTGTTATGTATTTCTACAAATTAATTCATGAATCTTTGGTAACCACAGTTGTAATGTATTTCTACAAATTAATTCATGAATGAGAGGCAGACTTACTGTCTGTTTTCTTCTTTAGTGGTGACAAACCTGCCTTTGCCTAAAAGAGAAGTCAAATTTACATCATATATGGATCAGAAAAACTATTTAAAGGCAGTTAATGATTAAAACAATGTGTGTTACTTTTTTAATGGTGGTCCAATCCTCGAGAATGTCAATGTCTCTCAACATGTAGACGATAAAGGGTCCTGAGAGACAGAACGGAAAGCAAAACTGTCAGACAATTAGAATAAGACAAAGACGGCTGAGACCAGTTTGGACTTGAATTAAGACTAGAACTCTGCTGCAGGTTCATGTCTTACCAGCTACGAGAGCAACTTTCTTTTTCTTTTCTGATGGACCAAACAGATGTTTCCTTTTACACTTCTTGCTCCTCATCTCATCACTCCACTCTGAGATAGAAAACATAGCACTTTTATTTACTACAAGGTGTCTATCTAAAGGGAATAATGTGTCTGTGTGTCCCTACCGGAGCTGAGGTCTATATTCTGTCTGTCCTCCTCCAGTCTGCGGATCTTCTCCAGCAGCTCTGACTTCATAGCATCAAACAGCAATGTGCGCTCGCTCTGTAGCACAAATATCATTCAAAGAAGCACTGCTTTGTTTTGGGTATTATACATGGTGGTCTCAGGTGTAGTACTGTATCACCCAGTACTGTGTTTGTGGCAACATTACCTCCAGGTGTTGCTTTGCTCCTTGCACTTCACACTCATGCTTGTGTTTGATCACCTGCAGACACAGCTCTCTGTACACTCCTGCAAGAGAAAGTTATTGACCAAAATCTATCAAATGATCACACTTTGTGAGCTTGTTTTGAGTCACTTTAAGTGGAAGAGAAAGGTTTGAAGTAAGGTGTCATTTTTGTATCATAAACATTGAGATATTAGACTTTGTTTCTGAGAAACGAGTCAAATCACCATCAGCACTACCTGCCACTTGTGTTCGTATCTGCATATTGTTTTGTAGTGCAGCCAGCGGCTCCCTGTATTCTCCAGCCTTTCCTGTCAACACCTCATCCAGCTTCACCTTCACTTGGTTGAGCCGCTCCCGAAACAACCTGATGTCATGTGAAGTGACAGGAACTCATTTTCATCCATATTTCATCACAGTGGAGTGAACTAACACCACCCAAGCCTTACTTACTTCTCCTTCAGGTCCTGGAACTGTTTCTCCAGATCCAGCATTTCATCCAGACATTCTCCTCTCCTGCGCTCACAGTCTACATCATCCATCTCTTCACAGTAAAAGAGACAAAAAATATATGAAAAGCTGTGGCATGCTGTCTATGCCTTTATTTTCCCATTCGGACCAATAACCAATCTACAGGAAACTTTGTTTTCTACCTGAACTCTCCTCTTCCTCCTCGTCTTCTTCTTCTTCTTCACTCTCCTCTAAGTCACTGTCCCTCTCTTCCATACTTTCCTCTCCTCCATCTTCATGGTCCCTCAGCTCCTCCACTTCTCCGTTGGCTTCAGGGAGGTGTGACTCTCCTTCCGCCTCCATCTCTTCCTCGTCTTGTCCCCTCACAGATGGTTGAGCTGGCATAGCTCTGCAACATATACATGCTTTTCTTTTCACTTATTACACGGACTTTTATTTTGTAAACCGGACATAGTGTCTCATATTGTCTAACTTGACCACTGTCGGCTTCCGCGATGTCGTTCAGCAAAATCGCTGACCATTACAAACAGAAAGGTGGAAATTATAGTAAAAATAAAGCGCGAAGCGAAAAGACACGAGTTTCTCGCACTTTCAAAACATTACCCCACCGTGGTCTGTGAAGAAGACCACACTCACTGGTGTAACTGAATCACTATTTTTGCGACAAACAAAGCGGAGTGAAGTCAAGTGTGACACTAGCTAACAGCATACGGCCACAGGGGAAGAGTCGCTAAAGCAGGAGTTGATTTACTCAAATGTTCCTGTGAGTTAACGTCTGTGAAGGTTGTGAATTAATCAAGTTATGCGTAGAAAAGTGTAAGTAAACATGCTGTCACAGCGGATTTCACGCAGAAGCTTCATTTTCATCCGGATTATGACATCACGCTACGGATCAAGCAGGTGAGTGAACGATGCTCTCGCTCTAAAGAAACAAAATAAACACAAATGTACCCATACATATAGACAGACAATACAAATGTGTCCTCACCTTCGTCTACGGGAGTTTCACTATACTTTTCATTGTAAACAAAAAACAAAAAAAATCTACTTCCTTCTATTCACTTCTGTCCCCACTTTGACTCTTTGGACGCTTTGGTGCTCGAGAAGATCCACCAATCAGCGACGAGAGCCACTGTTCGGCTACTCAATAAGAAAAAGCCCTTCGTGAGCGATAGTGGTACAATCAAAACGCCGAAGTAGGTTTGGTGGACCAATCACAACTTAGAATGTTGGAGCCGTTACCACTAGGAGCCAATGGTGTGGATGCGGCGAGAGAAGCGCGCATCTGGCTTTTGCCCAACAGCATTACGTCTTCTCTGTGCTATATAATATAATATAATATAATATAATATAATATAATATAATATAATATAATATAATATAATATAATATTTAGTTGCTCCTTCAGCAATTGTCAATTATATTACATATATTTTACTGCGTTCATAAATCTTTTCAGGGTTAGTTTTCTTTTTTTCGGCCAGCTTTATTTTGATTCCTAATCTTGGAAGGTAGCTAGTCAACACCTCTACATCATCTCATTCAAAAAATCGATTAGTTCTGGCCAAGGTTTATATATCTTATCCACCATCCCAGTATCATTAAACTATTCATTTTACCTTGTTATTTGCGTATTTCAGTTTACCCTCGTCGCCATAACATTAACAACTATTGTAAGACAATTTATCACAAAAATAATAATCGAATCTCAACCTCAAGGCTTCTGTAAAAAACGTCATCCATCTCACGCCATAGTCAGTGAGCAGGATCATTATTCTGAACGGTCTGTGGTGGCGGGATCACAACTAAATGTAGTTGTCAGATTGCAGTCACAAGATGGCGCCAAGGCATTGGGCAAAATGTCAATGTCGTTTAGATAAAGGGCGTTTTTCATGGCAGACATTTCAGCTTGTCATAGCAGGAAAACCACAGATGGAAAATGAGAGCAGTTATTTCAGCTCTGCGTTCCTTCACATGGCCAGTGTTGCACACTGTCGTGACCTTTCAAGGACAGGCGAGAAAGGAAACAAATAAGTAGAAGTGAGAGAGCAAATCAGACAAACACATACTAGGGTCAATTTGACATGTTTTTATTAAAGTTGCATAAAAGTGTAACAAAATTGGGCAAAAACAAGATCTGTTGTTGATATTGCTACATTTGCTTGTTGGATTGATTTAGTCATTGTTTCCAAAAACACTCCACTAGTCTTTCAATCCCCACAGTTTAGCACTGCACTTAGCCTAAATGATAATCAGCTTTATGTGTGTGTGTGTATATATATATGCTTTTTTTGCAATTTATTGTCCTGACAGTAAAAAAACAGACTTCTCAATAACAGTCTAAGAAGGTGTAATCCAAACTTGGATTTAAAAATGAAAATCCATTCACAATCAGGAGATTGACGTTACGTGGTTCATTGACCAATCAGAATGCTTCAATCGAACCTGAATAAATCTGAAAGGATTTTTTACTTCAACTACAGGATAAGCCAAGGCCTGGCATCAAGTGTCGTGATCACAATAAAAACAGAGCAGTATTCAATGTCTATGTAGAGAGCATTGCTTTATCTAAACAGAAGTCACTGTATCAAGGCCTAAGTATTAAACACCCACTTCTAGAAAACGAACAAAAAACAACATTGTCTCATTTTCTTAAAAAACAAACTATAGAGAGGATAAAGAAGCAACAGAAGATCGGAGATTCTCCACACGCTGCATTTTTGCTCTGTAACACACAGGTTTAACAGTTTGTGTTACTCTTTAAAAGGATGTCTCCTGTTTTTTTCTTTTTTTGGTTTGTGTAACATAAATAAAAACTAAGGCAACATCTGATTTTTCAAGAGAGAAGGTAAGGAGAGAAGAGAGGGATGGTGGACAGAGGGATGGTGGACAGAGGGATGGTGGACAGAGGGATGACAAAGAGAGGCAGAGAAAGGACAGAGCAGCAAGAAACTAGGTCAACGTGTGTGTGTGTGTGTATATATATACTGTTGTATATACTTCTGTAATACACACATGTCCATAATTACTAACGGTTTGTTATGGTTGTGAATCAAACAATTAAATGATAGTCAAACAATTCTATTAATAAGAATAGCTGCACAAATCTGTCTGAAAGTGTACGATGGGATTTTTGTTTTTTTCATGTGGCAGTCTGCCGTTACCGCAGGTGTCAGCAATTTGTTTCACCAAATGTTGCTGCTCCACCCATTGGCCGACTTCAGCCTGTGATCTTATTGGCTCAGATTCTGGAACAGATGGCTTATTCTCAGAGATGATTGGCAGCCACCGAATGGAAACATGGATCTTGTGTCTGTCTCTCCTTAGCGTTGGTTTCTTTTTGCACTTCCCTCCCTGCAGTGTGAGTGTGTGTGGATGACACATCTGTGTCAGAGGCAGCTGTGTTTTCTAATGTGGTTCCTCTGCACCACTGATGCCCCGTGTGTGTGAGAGTGAGTGCCGAAGAGTAAAAGACAGAGAGCGAGGTGGAAAAAGACTTTTACACAGCCTCCAATTCAGAACAGTGGCCTCCATCCTTCACATCAGACGTCTCATTGGTGTCTGCAGTCACGTGACAGGCATTTCCAGAGATCCCACGTACACACACTGTGACATGTGACTGCTCTGAGGAGGCTGTGCCAATCACACAACAATGAGGTGGACTATATGATTTCTTAGGGAAAAGAAGAAAGACTGTGGGAAAAGACAGAGAAAGGGAGAAGTTAAAAAAAAGACGAAGGGAAAGAAACAAGGCAGCTTTGTTTGCAGGTCCCCTGTTGGACTGTCAGTGTGTATAATTAAAAAAAACAGGAACCAGTCCTCTACTAAAGTTCAAACTCGTCATACAGAACAGCAGAATATACAGGCCAGGAAAAAAACACTCCTATGATGAATGTTGCCATACATTATGTAGCAACACACACACGTAGCATTTATCAACACACAGACAGTTTGAACATACAGTTTGTATGTAAAGGCTGAACAGCGGGGGCTTCTAAGAAGCCCCTCTTAGCACAGCACTACGTATTTGAGGAGAGAAAACTTTTTTTTTCTTTTGCAAGAATATGAATTCAAGTCAAGCACAGCCAACCCGAAAAAAACCCTACTTCTATTCTAAAATAATTCTAAAATTGGTTTGGGACCATACGACCACCACCGGAGCCAACCAGTGACTTTCCTTTAGGTTCCACCCACATTTCAAAGACCAAACTTGCCTCTCTGCCGTACTGAAAATACACCATACAATACTCCTTGTGGTCAGAGGCTCATATTTTCCTCCCACAATTACATAGTGCAGCTTTTTTTTAAAACAGATACTCAAAAAAGACAGTCTTTAAATGCACCACTGTAGCAAATGCCTTTTGATTAAGGTGAAAAATCTGCCATCCTGACCCCCCCGAAAAAGTGAGCCTGATTTATTCACAGACTGAAGTCAAGTGAATATCCCTCCCACGCCCCCTAAAGGTAGAAGTGAAACAGCTGGAAAACGATGGTTGATTACCGCTGGTTCAGAGTCAGTTTCTATTCCAAACAAGTTAAGGAAAACTCTGATGGGTTAGAGACACAGAGCAGTGATTGGCCGCTTCAACCATCCTCTCTTTTTTGGCCGTCCTCGTGCGTCGTCTCTTCCTCCCTTTCAGCCTCTCTGCTTCCAGTAATTATGGGACTCATCTCCTCCTGACTGCCCTCCTCTTCCTCCTCAGACAGATGGAGAGTGGTGCAGGGGTGGAAGAGCAGGATTAGTAGAGGGAGAGCAGACGGGCCAAAAAACAAAGGGGTGAAGGAGAGTGAACGCTTCCCGTCAGCATGTCCATGTGGGCTCTACATGTGGGCTACATAGCTATAAAGTAGGGCACATATGGTTACTAGTGGCCCAGACAAAGCCACTTCTAAGAACCCACGTAGAAATGCTGACCGGGCCGTGGTCATCTGACCATAAATTCTTTATTTTCTTCTCTTCTGACAATGAGTCCTGTTTACAGGACAAAGGGTGTGCAAAGGGGATGAAGGGGAGATGTAAAAAATGATTAAGGGATTGGAGCCAGGCAACAAACGGAGAAGGAGAAAAGAAATTGAGAGATGGTTGAATGACGAGCAACTGGAAACTTTAATGTAGGAAAACTCAGGTTATGGTTATAAAAAAAAGAGAGTTGCAGCAGGAAGACAAGAGGTGAGGGCGGAGGTGATGGTGGGAGGATGTGGGGGAGAGAGATGGGACTCTGAGGGACGCCATCATTTCTTCTGAGGCGTGGAGAGCTTCTGCATCCCTCGAATCTTGTCCAGCAGCTCTGAGATGAAGTCCTACGGTGGGACAGTAGGGACGAGGACACAGACGTAACAAAGTTAGGAAACATTCAAGTTTCAAGTTCTTGTTTTTTAAAATTTGTGAGACATTAGAATGGGTTTTTTATTACCTCAGTGGGTTTAAAACAGTCAACCAGTAAGTCCTGTAATAAGAACCAGAGAGGCTGTGAGATCAATCTGTCTGTTTCTGCACACTTTCACATGAGTCAAGACGTTTCACCTACCTTAACCCTGGCTGCTCGTTCGACGTCACTGGGCATGTCCAGCAGCTCGTCCACGTCTATCTCTAGTTCTGGGATGGCCTCCTCCTGTAACACAAGGAGAAAGAGCATGTTTAGAGGGAAATCCATTTCACCACTTCAGAGCGACAGGTCGTTGTGAGCGATCTGTCATGGACACACATCCTCCTCATGCTTTCTATTCTTAAGACTGTGTTTTTCTTCTTCTGTAGTTGTCTGCAAATACAAGAGCCCTGGAGTGGCACGGAGCTACGCAATGTGCTTCTGACGACCACTAGGGGGCGGTGTCCAACTATCAGGCCACAGGCGAGACTGCACATGATGGTGGAAAAGGACAAAGAAAAAGGGAAACCCTGTGTTGTCTTCCAAGAACAAGGTAATTTCTAAATAAAAATGGAGGAAACGTTTTAAGTTTTATATAAATAGAAATGCATGGAGCATCTAAGTAAATATTAATATACAGCAGTTGAGATGGTCAAAAGTTTTTGACACTACAAAAAATGAACACAAGTTAGCGCTAGTATAGCTGAAATACACAAAAACTTTAGGAAAATGGTCAAAATAAAAAAACAGCCAAAAAACCCGACAGGTTAAGCATAGCTGAAAAAATATATAAAAAACAAACTAACTAAAAACACGTACAAAAAGCAACTAAAAGTGGTATTTTAAGTTTAAATAAAATCAAAAACAAAAAAAACGGTCAAGTCTTTCATTCAATAGCTTCCATAAATGACAGTATGTGTATTACTGATAATGTGACGACTGCCGAGTCTTCCTGTGCAAGAACAAAACCGTCTTTATTCCGTCGGTCCCTACATGACTCTATCAACACTTCTTTTTATTCACTTATTTCTCTGATTTATCTGTTGTTCTATAAAAAGTAGTTTAACCGTTTCACTCGTGTTCTTAATTTTTCCATCTGTTCCACCACCCAATACACACACACACACACACTGGTTGAGTGAGTTCTCTTAAAGTGGCTCACCTCACACACACACGTATACACACACACTAGTATAAATGCTCATTTAGCCCCTTCCTTTTTTTGCAGCTCCATACCCCATATTCATGTCATTCTCTAGGAATCTCTCGCTCTCTCTCGTCCTCCCCCTTGGTTCGAGTCACCCACACCAGCTGTCTCTGCACCTGCCCAACTGTGCTTGACTCTCATCGTAACACACACACACACACACTCAGCATGCTGTGAGAGCACATTTGTGTTTTATTCAAACCGAATGGTATCATTATTTCGTAGTAAAAACGACTCACCATCACAGGGCGTTGTTTATACACTCATGAGGTCGGAGAATTCTGAAATGATCACTACCACGTCTGCTCTGAGTCTGTTGGACATTAGGATTTCAGTTGGAGGAGAGTGGATTGGTATGTTTTAGAGGCCAGAGCCATTCAACGATCTACTGTGTCCTGAACACAATCAAAGTCAATTCTGGCAAAATATAAAAAGAGGAACAAAAAAAGATTGAAAGGGTGGGTGGCCGGGGTGGAGGCGCCAGGAGGAAGGAAGGTAAAAAAAGCGGTGAGTAAAGAGGGAGCAGCTGAGTGGGTGAGGCAGCATCACAGACAGAGAGGGAGGGAAGCTGAAAAAGGCCGGAAGACAGGCTTTAGAAAGGAGACACAAAGAAAGCAGGGAATCACATGGGACGCTTTCCAAAACAACATGGACTCACTTAAGTCTGGGGTCTGGAGGGGGTTTTACTGTCTGCTGCAGATGTAATGTGGATGATAAAAAGACCACTACACTGAAGTCCTGGGCCCCGGCCGCCTGCCCTGTAAACAACGCGAAGACAGTGTGGAAAAACTGACAGTGGTTTCATCTGGAGGTTGATGATTTGCTGAAGTGGAAATCGTCTTGGCACCGGCTCAAAGAACATCTGCATGTGTTTTAAGCGTTAGCTCCGGCAGCTAACATCGCAGCTTGTCTGCACAGATTTACACTCTACTGGAGATTAGGTGTTAATATTGTTCTGCCGTGGAGAGCAAGGTCTTAAACTCTAACTAACTGTAGGCTGAAAGAAGCAGGTGCTTTAATATTAACTATTTGCATTCATCTTGGATTTTTTTTTTGCTCAACTTATATCAGATGCAGCTAAAAATATCTAGTTTAACATAGCTTAGCTTTAGTTCTCTTATCAAGATTCAATGATTCAATTCAATTAAAACTAATAGAGCAGGTGCTTTCCAGCAGCACAAACAGTGATGGGTGTAGTTCTAAGCAGGTTTCCTGCAATATTACTCATCTTTTTCCTAGGACATTTAAGGCATCATTGTTATTATCTGGCACCCGCAGAAGTGTGATTTGGGTGGCGGTCATGGAGACTGCTGCCCCCGCGACCCGGTAACAGTTAAGCGGATGAAAATGCATGCAGATGGAAGTTGTGTTGTTGCTGTACTAAGTTTTGTTTCTGGTGTTTCTAAGTTTGTAGCGATATCCACTTAGTCGCAGTAGGACTTGTTTTTGTCTCCCTCCTCTGTGCTGTTTGCAGCACTGCTTGTTTAAAGACGTTCATGATCAGCAGTTGGACTTTTAGAATTACTTTTAAAGAATGCGTCTGGTTTACCTTTGGCTAAATGATGATTTATATGACAACAGACTTTTGCAAAGGCAAAAACTCCAAATGATAAATCAGGCCTGTTTATAATGAGCTCCATAAATCATGAAGCCAATCATTTAGTCACCGGCCTGGCTTCATTTATCACAGTTACTAATTACATGACCACAAGCTCAATGTGATTATGGGAAGTGTTAGAATGTTGAGGGAAAAGGAAAGAAATAGGGAAGAGCCTATAAAACAATTATACACGATGGGGAAAAGCTTCAGAGCACGGTTTTATTTCCACATTTACCTCCTGTTTATGACTTCATTTAATCAATGGTGATCATTTCTGTCTGTACGTTCACAGAGCCAGTGGATGATCTAATATTACCTAAAAGTAACACTGACAGCCACAGAAAAACACAAATGTATGCAGGGCGACTGGCGATGGCATTTTTAAAACTATTGTAGTATTTTTAACACCTGTACGCGAATACAAATGTAGCACACTAACTACTGCTGCCTTTGGGTTTGTCATGTCACAGCACAACTCAAAACCACAGAACTACTCAGACTCAACATCAGCATCATGTGAGACACACACTGAAACTGTAAACCGTCTTACAGACTGACTGGACTCTGGTCATTAAATGTAATTACATTCCAACTGGCAGTAAGTATAGTTCAGACACAATGTATGTGTGTGTGTGTGTAGGTCTGTGCTGTTCTGCTCTTACAGGAGGTCTGTAGTGGCTGCAGGACAGATCAAATGGCAGATACAGCTCCCGGAAAAAACACAATCTACAGACACGTGTGTGTGTGTGTCTCTGTAGACATCTGAGAAAACAGTGTTTGTAACTCCAAATAACTTTGAAAAGATCAAACTAAAAGGGCATCAGATCAAGGAGTGAAAAAAAAAGATTGTTTATAGAAGTTTCTCTGAGGTGGAGGTGATAAAGACTTTTTTTGTGCGATCGATGACCCTTGATTTCACAGTAGTTCGGCATAACTCAGATTCCAACGGTCTGACTCTTAAGTCACAGATTTGTTTCCATCAAGAGCAGAGGGAAGTGTGAAATCCACAGCTACAGAGTCCCAGTCCAACTGTTCAGATGCAAATGTTACGGCGTAAGAAGAGGATTTGACTCAAAGGTTAAGGAGGGCTTCACGGCATGTTAGCATGGCGAATGGAATGGAAATATTACACCATGATGAATGGAATACGGTGTGAAAGCCAATCAGTATGGTTGGAATCCCCGTGCATAAGTAGGTCACAGAGGCCACCTACCGGGATTACACAGTATGGATTCCAGTGATATCACACAACGTTACTGTTAATCCCGTGATGGGATCTGGGTAGAAGACGAAGGGTGTGTAGTACTGTAGTAAACGTGGAGAAATACGATTAGGAGCCCTGTTTGATTTTCCACCTCGGTCACAGAGAAGGGTGAAAATAGTCAGACGACAGGACAGCCGCCTGTTCCATATACACAGTGTTTTGACTTTGTACAGAGAATGGACAAGAAGGAAGTGAGAGCTGGAAGGAAGTGATATCTGCAGCAGACAGGAAGAGGAAAGGCAGGGAGAAGTAGGAAAAGTGGGACACGTGGCACCAAACAATGGCCCGCTCACTCCTGTTTCCCTTTTTTGTGTGTTTGTTTTGACCCCTCTGGCCCAGAGATAATTCATGTCTTTCAGAGGAGAAACAGAATTACTTGATTTGCCCCTGAAACTGCTTTACTTGTTAAATCTTTTCAAAGTGTGTGTCTATGACTGTGATCTAAAAAAGAAAAAGAAAAAAAAGATTTTACAGAGAATCTAATGTGGACATTTATACCTTGATATTTACATTTTTGTGTAATGCAGTGGTTCTCATTTTCACATTTACATTTTTAAATGAATAAATCATACACAAATAATACATTAAACCTAAACATCTTTCTAAACATCTCTCCTGTGGTGGAAGCTAACAGTGAAGGCCTCTGCTGCTGTATTCTAATGTTGGTCATCATGGTGGTACTCAGAGAGATCACTGTTTTCTCAGGTGGTACAGAGGAGAAAAAGTTGGAGAACCACTCATGTAATGCATTTTACCTCAACGTTTGCATCTCTGATAAGTGTCTACATTGGGATATTATTTACACTTCTACCTCATTCTTTTGTATTGGTAAATATCTCGCTTAAAAGTACTAACTTTTTTGTCCATACTGTAGGCTTCAAAATCCTATGTGGCAAATGGCACAAATGGCAAAAAAAGTAAACCTATTATATTATATTCTTTTCTATTCTATTAATTTCTATGGAGATGGTGCTGTGACACAGCAGCAAATGTTAGACCTGCAGGAATGTCAGGTTACAGACGGCATGCACAGGTGTAAGTGTGGATGCAGGTGTTTGTCAAGACTTTGTCTTTTAGTCCTGAGTCACGACAACATCCAGTACTCGTCTGTGAGACAGTTAACCTGCTCTGTAAACAGATCCTGTGATTGTCCAGAGTTTTGAGACTGTGGTGTT